TCAACCATTCTGGGATTCTGTGATTATAGGACATAACTTCCAGGCAACTCTTGATATTTTGATTGCCTCAACTTCTACTTGTCTATCTCAAGTTAGCAATTTTTAAAATAGATGTCAGCTCTTTTGTTTGTTTTTACGAAGTTTTCCTTCTTTTGAAGTGGCGGAAGTTAGTCACTTTATCATCTATACTGAAATAAAACAGAACAAAGAGTAGAATGGAACCTATGAGAAATAGCTCCAGAAATCCAGACTTCCTTATACATGCTAAGTAAAGCAGGATTAATCTTTTTCTTTAGTATTTTTGGTCAGATAACTACAAGGTTTTAAGAGACTTCTTGGGTAAGAGAATTACTGAAGCATCCACCAGACACAATTACCTGAGTTTTACAGTAGTTAAATAATTATGAGTACAAACTACTCTTCAAAGACAGGCTGCTTTTCAAATGTTAAGATTAAGCAATTGGAAGACGTCTCTTATGAATCACATCACCTTCTACCTTAACGTTCCATGCTTCCCTTTCTCAAATCTACCCTTTCAGCTTGACCTCCTCAGAGTCCTAAATGCAGCCCAGGACCAAAGCAGACAGGGAGAGGCTGAACTGCAGAATGCAAATTTATAATAATAAACTTTAAGCTTGACAGCCAAGCTATCTCTGAATTCTGCTGCTTAGCTACACAATCTGTTTCTGCTTGCTCTTTTAGATAGGCAGCCAGCCCAATATTAACATACAGCATAGGAGAGAAAGAGAGAAACCAAAGCAAAGTATTTCTGTAATCTATTCACACAAGTTCCTACAGGTCCAGTAAGGTTCAAAAAGAGAATACAATCTAATGGACCTATTAACCAGTTAGAATATGTTTCACCTTTCATGATGGCAAAAGCTGAACCCAAGTGTCTGGACACAATTTGGTAAAGAAAAGGATAAGAGGGGGAGGACAGGGAAGGGGCGGGGGAGGCAGGGAGAAAAAACAAAAGAGAGAGAGAGAGGAGAGGGAGGTGAAAGAAAGGAAAAAAAAAGGGAGAAAGGAAAAAAAAGGAAGTAATTCCAGTAATCACTTTGCTTATAGCACTTATAGCACTCCACTTTGCATATCACTTGATCACAGGGCTTACCTTCAAAGCAGTGCTGCTTTTGTCAGATTTTTCCTTTCCCTCCTTTTCTTTGCTACTTTTTTTCTTGGAGGCGGAGCATTCTCTTTCTCTTCTTTCATTATTTGTATCCCTTTCTCTTTTTTTTTCCTTCTTGTTCCTGCTTAAGAAAAATTTTACTTATATCAGAAGTTTGAGTCAAACAACAAATTTCTTCCATGCATATATCAAGCGATCTCTACAGCCCGTTACACAGTTCAGAAGCTTTCAGCTAAACTGCAACCACCTTCAAGCTATTTAGTTGCAAATTATTTTCTCACCTGCAGAGCCTTTTAAAAACAAAAAAAAAGTTTTTTTAATTTTTTTTTAAACTAAGGCTAAAGAATGCAAGTGTTCAAAATGCACACTATCTGCAAAGAAAAAAAACTGTATTTGATGAAACCTTGTATGGATTTGAAGTAAAGTAACTGGATTAATTACAGATCTAAAATGTTCTATCTTAAAGCATTCCAGGGCTCAAAAGTTTAATTTTAAACATACTAATCACCTGCAATCATCTGAGACAACTACTGCAAATAATCTGTCTTCTCCTTCTCCCATTATTGAAAAACACTGCACCTTTCCTTAGAAAGGACATTGATGATTATTAATCAGCTGCTTGCATGACAAAAACATCCAGGAGAAATACAAATCTGAATCAATTCATTTAACAATGCTGATGCTACAACTATTTCCAACTTTACTACTCAGTAACTTTTATTTTTACATCAAACCTACCTCCTTGGAGATGGAGATCGTGAAGACTTTCTTTTTGTTGTTTTGGATGATTTAGGAGATTTGGAGGGACTTCTGCTCTTCCTTTTACGCCTTTCTCTGAAGGACCAAGAAACCCAAGATCAACAATTAGGAAAATAATAAAGTCAAGAAAATTGCATAAAAAGCAGAAAGCTACTTGACAAGACAACCGATCAAATACTCCTGGAGATTAACATCACGTATAGCCAACAACATCCAACTTACATGAACAGGACACATTGCATTTTGTGTATGTTTTTAGTTTGGTGTGAAAGGGAAGAATGAAAGTGGAAAGTAGGACAAAAGATGTCCCCTTTTCAGACTTAAGTTTATCCTCACGTGTTTGTATTTACATCCGCTATCAATGGAAACACAACGGAATTGGTAACATTATATTAAATAATAGTTTCTTCAGGCAGGAGAATAATCCAATTGAATCAGGAACCACCCTAAGACAAAAGCATAACTCGAACAACATGAACTTCAATGTTTAACTGGAGTTCCATTTTTTACTTATGTTTAACTCCTGAATAAGAGAAGCAGGCTGCTTGCTGGATTAGAAACACACAGTGCAAAATGAGGCTGAAGCTGTCACCAAAATATCAATATGGATAAGTTGGTATTTATTATTTTCCTAATAGTCCAACTCTACAAGCTTACTTATTATTCTACAACAGACTCAAGGCCAATAAAGGCAGATCAGAACCCTCAATATTTAAGGAGCCAGCTGTTTTATACACAGAATTTGCTAAGGTTGCTATTCTGAAGTCTGAACATTTAAAATTACTAGTGGCAAACACAGAAGCACATGTTAAAGCCAAAATGGATGCTACATTCAGTGTACTGACTGAATAAATACTGTCCCCTTATCTGCCAAAATAAGATCTTTTCCCATTATTTGTTTACAGAGTAGGAAAAATAGACAGGAAAAAACACTAAGCAAAATTAGAGAGGTTAAAACCTAAACTTTAAGATATGGCACGATAGCCAGAATTGTGCACTCCTTCTCTTGCAATTCACAAAATTTTAGGCTGACTAATACAGGGAAATGATACAAGAACCAGCTACTCATTGTCCTCAAGGACTCCAATATGCAGTTATGTGAAGGGCAAGCATCAGGAGCTCCACAAGAAACTATATGCTAACAGTATCATACAGAACTCTTGGCACAAATTTAATCTTACAGGGCTATCTACAGAACAAAAAGAGAGCAGACTGTATTTGTAAGTAATGTAAATTGACACATGAAAATTAGGATGCACGTACGTCACAGTGCCTCATTGTGACAATAAATAAATAAATAATAAAATAAACTACAACAAAAATTCTGAACAACAAACCTGCTGGAGCTACGAGATCTTCTTGAGGAGCTATAGCTTCTTGGAGGAGTTTTGGATCTCTTCTCTTTTTTCTTTTTATCATCTCTTTCTCGCTCCTTCTCCTTCTCCCCATCTTTTTCCTTTTCCTTGTCTCTGTCCTTGTCTCTGTCCCCTCCTTTATCCTTATCTCCCTCCTTGTCCTTCACCTTCTCTCTGTCCTTCTCCATCTCTTTCTCAGCATCTCCTTCTTTTTCTTTGTTCTGGTCTACCTCTTCCCTATCTTTTTCCTTGTCCCTATCTTTGTCTTTTTCCTTTTCCTTGTCCCTATCTTTGTCCTTCTCCTTTTCCCTGTCTCTATCCCTATCCTTATCTCTGACTCTCTCCCGATCTTTTCTCTCTTTGTCTCTGTCCCTGTCCTTCTCCTTGTCCCTGTTTCTCTCTCTATCTCGCTCTCTTTCTTTATCTCTGTCACGGTCTCTCTCCTTCTCCTTGTCTCGGTCTCTCTCTTTCTCCTTTTCTTTGACCTTTTCTTTTTCCTTGACCTTTTCTTTGTCTCTTTTCTTGTCCCTGTGAAAAGTAAAGAAATCCATCTCTGAACTTTCTAATCACAACTAAAGTACAACATACATTCATTTCGCAACAGAAACTATGGCTCTAAATTAAAAGAAAAATAATTATGCGATATTAAAATCTTCCATACCTGTTTGTCATGAGGGAGAGACTCAAGAGCCAAGAAAAATTTGGAAAACAAACTGAGGTAGGAGGAATGAAAACCAAAATAAAACATGACCTTCTAGGTGATGCAATTAGGCTTTTAGAGAACATGGTCCTTTACCTTGCAGTTAAGTTTCTACACACCCACAGATTTTCTACATTTTGTCAGAAATGAGACAAACTCTGCAATTTGTAAATTTAATCCTTTCCTAACAGGAAATGTGCCCATGTAAAATGAACTGCACAATAATGACTCTCTCATGAAAAATGACAGCTGACTGAAGAGGTCTAAAGTCAATAGTATTCACTCATGTAAGTATCCTGGAACTGCTTGAAAGTCAGACATCAATGTATACACAGAAACAAAAAACATGAATAGAATTCTAACTGAGAAGACATCTCAAAAGCCAGACTATGAGTCAAAGTTCAATTGAGACAATCACATGTAATGTTAAAAGCAAAACATTTTCATCAAATAAACAAACAAAAGATGTAATTTCTTAGGAACAGAAACTCACCGAGAACGAGAGCGACTTCTTGATTTTCGTCTTTCTCTAGATCTTGACCGTTTTTTCAGGGGACTTCTGGATCTCCGTCTGTCCTTGTGCCTTGAGAGTGATCTGTTGCCAGATCTACTTCTACATAAACAACATCAGAAGAAAAATACTTGAATAGAGAGACTTGAAAAATGCGGGAAAAGAATAAACACTGCCTCAAAAGAAATTACATACACAATTTTCAGCTTATTACTGTACTATGTACCAACATTTTCCCAAATGTCTATACTTGAATTTTACCAGGTGCCATCCTCTCCTTCAAAATGACACCATGTAAATAAAATTTATTTTTGTTACAAAAGCATAGCATAGAATACCAAAGGAAAAAAAAAAAACTAACTTTCATAAATACACTAGAAAGTATAAATTAAAATCAAATTAGGATAATCTTCCTTAATAAATGACACTGAATAGAGCCTAATTATAAACAATTTCTAACAGCTTGCAAATATAATTACTTTTTTTTCCTTTTCAAAGCCCAGTCACGTACTAGAATCTTGGTTTCTGAAGAAAGATGGCTTTACTGGCCTCTTTTGGCTTGGTTCTCCAGCCTTACAATTTAACAAACTTAAAAAACAAACAAACAAAAAAAAGAAAACCACAACTCACTACCTGCAAGTTTAAATTTAGTCAAATTACTTTTTCAAACCCATGCTCAGAAATTCTTTCAACTTAATCATCACAATCTCAAAAAAAAAAAAAAAAAAAAAAAAAGGATTTTTTACTTTTTGATGAAAAAAAAAAAA